TAATCTGAAAAATCTCAAAATATATCTTTTGATATAATAAAAAACTAAAAATCTTTTTATTATATATATCTTTAATTATTAAGAGCTAAAATGCTTTAATATATATATATATAAAATCAAATAAATCCCATTATATTTTATAGAAAGAATGAGATAATTAATATTTATTAAAAACTTATAATATTATTTATTTTATATAAATATAAATACAATCTATAGATTTGATTTTAATGATTTCTTTTATTTTCATATTTCTTACTATAAAAACAAAATATTCAAAAGTCTTTTTTCTTAAATATTCTAATCTTTTATATCATAACTCTACAGAGTTTTCTTATAATTTGGGTAAATTCTTTGATTTACAAAATAGTCTTTTTATTTTATATTAAAAATAGAATATATTAGAATATATAAATTAATAAATATAAAACTTAAAAAAAATGAATAAAAAAAAAATTTATATTCTAAAAATAAAAAATTATCTTTACAAATATATTAAATAACAATATAATTATTCTCAAAATTTCTCTTTTATAAAATTGAATTTATTTTTAAAAATTATATTCCTATTTTTATAAATCTTATTTCCAAAACAATATTAATATAAAATTCAAGAATATAAATAATATTAAATAAAACCAGATTATCTTTTGAATTCTAAAATCTTTATAAGATATTTTTAATTATTTAAATATTTTATTTAACAATTTGAAATCTTATAATTCTAATTTCAATATAATTAAAAGATAATAAAAATAAGTATTTATTTCTATTAAAAAAATCGATATTATTAATTAAATATATAGTATTATTATTATCAAATATAATATTATTAGAGAATAAATAAAATAATCCTAAAAATATATTATATATTCTATAATCAAATCGATTTTAAATAATATAAACTATTATTTTTAATTCTAAATCTTTAGAATTAAATAATTAAAAAGTTTTATTTTTTGAATTAATTTATTCCTTTTGTTTTTAGATTTTTCAAAGATTTGATTATCAATTATTCTTAATTCTTTTTTGTATATTATTATATTTTTTTTTTATTAATAAAAATAAGTTCCTAGAATTATATTTTTTAATAAATATAAATTCTATGAATTAGTATATCTTAAAATAATATTTAGAATTAGCTTTTCCGTTTTTCTAATTAAACTCTGATCTATAAAGATAATAATATTAATTATTATTTCTTCTAAAATAATTCTTTTTTAAACTATTTCTTTGTTTTCCTTATGGATTATATAAAATTGATTTTGGTTGAGGATTTATTATAGAAAAGATATCTTTTTTTTTTAATATTAATAAATCTTGATAGGTTAAATTATTAAATATATTCCTAAATTGTTTTAAAAAATAGTTAGGAACTTCAAGTTAATTATTAATTTCAATCTGAATAAATATAATACTAGTTTATATAAAAAGTATTTATATACTTATAATTTATAGGAAATTAATAATTACTAAGTTATTCTTGATTTTAATATAATATAATTTTATATTTATATAAACTTTAGTTTATTTATTATATTATTTAATAGAATTAATTCAATCTAAAATCATTTATTAAAGAATATTTCGATATTCTTAAGCAATAATAGATTTTATTATAATAATTATTAATATAAATTTATTCTAAAGCTTTTGAATAATTATTTTGAATAATAATACTTTGGAGTCTTCATATTCAATAATAATTTCTATAAAATGGAATATATTCATTATTTTATTAATCTATTCATAAATGTTCTAATATGATTTGTATATAATATTATACTTATCTCTTTTGCTACAATATTCTCCCTATAGAGCTAAGTATTCTATTAATATATTTTGAAAAGTATATAGTATAGATTTAATTAATTCTATAATTAATATTTTTGAAGGTATAGAAGATATTAGAGTATTTTCTTATAAGTTCTTTTTATAATAATTCTAATAAGTAATGAGATTATTAATATATTTTGCATTATTATTTAAATTATATTTTCTTATAAGATTTGTGATCTTAATAAATTTGAATAGATTCTTAATAAATCAGTTTTTTTTATAAATTAAGATTATTCAATAAAATTTTTTGCTATCTTTCAAGAATTCTCTAAAACTAATTAAAATAATTAGAATAATTTTGTTATTAAATAGTTTAATATTCTTTTAAATATCTTTTAATATATAAAGATATTATAGATATAGAAACCATTTTGATTAGTATTTTTGAGTGATTAGATAGGTAATCTTTAAGAAATTAGATTTAGATATAATAAGTTTTATAAGATTGAATATAAAGGTATATAAATGATTCCAAATGAATTAAAAGATATATATAAATATATATATATATATATATAATTTAAATACTAATTAGGTTTATAATTATTATAGAGGAATAGCTATATCAATTGGTTATTTTGATTATATAATAAATATATATAATAATAATAAATTAGATTGACTTGTAATATAATCATAAGGATTATATCTATTTTATATACTTTGATTAAATAATGAAATCGCCTAATTAAATATTAGGGTTCATATATGAAATAAATAGAAGACTATATAGTGATTATAGGAATAAGCATTTCATAGGAGTGCTATGCTCAATCACGTGTTATTGCATAAGACAGTGAATTCCGTAACAAATGATTAATTATGTTTTTATATATATAAAAGACTTTCAAAGTATTATAAAAGAATTCTATCTTTTTAATAGAATCTATAAAATAATAAAAGCACTACTAATATTTTATAAATATTATTTAAAATAAAATTCACTTTCTCAAAAGAACTCTCTTTTTCTTTTTAATATTCTTTCTTTTTATTCAATTCTTCTATTTTATTTCAAAATGATATTAGAGATATATTATAGAAATATTTTATAAATATTCTAAAGAATTTATATTAAAAAGATTTTTTTTTAAATTTTCAATTTAATTTAATTTTAATAAATAAAATAAGATTATTTTGATATAAATAATATCAATTATATATTAATAATATATTTTTAATATATTATAAATATATTATAGCCTTAATTAAAATAACATTTTCAAAAAAACTATTTTTAAAGCTTTTTAAAACTATTTTTTGAAATCTAATTGCTAATTTGCTTTAAAGAAATTGAATAAAAAGAATTATTAAAATGGATATAAGGCAATGATTAATATAAATATAGATATAGATCTAAAATAAAACTTTTTATTACTTTCTTTAAAATCTTTTTTTAAAGCTATATATATATGAAAATTCTTTAGTATCAGAATAATATCGGCCCAATGCCAGTTTCATATCGATACCTGTAACAAGAGAAAGGTATAAATTGAGGTGAAAGTGGGCTACTTGGTGATATAGGCCACTCGGTGTTAAACTACGTTACTCTTTTTAAAGAAGAAAGATTTGAAAATTTCTAAACTTTAAATTCTATAGATATAAATTATTCTCAGTAGTAAATACAAAATTCCATTAGCTAATGAATCATATAATATATATACTTTTTATTATCCGATTTGAAAACGTTTCAACTAAGAGATTACAACTTGAATATAATTTTATTCCAATTAATCTATAAATGACTATGTTGATCTTCTAGTTTTCAAAAATTATATAAAACTTCTATAATCATTTTTCAATTTACAATGAACCAAATCATATATAACATTATGACTATAATTCTCTTAATGATTTTTCGAGTTTTATTTAGAAGAAATATATAGTACATATAAATAGAAATAATTCTTATCCAATATTTCTGAATGTTAGAAAGAAATTTATAATTTATGAATTTCATATTTCTTGATATTTCTATATGTAAACTCATTCATTCTTTGATTAAAAATTTTTTTAAACAAAAAATAAAATAAAAGAAACCGATTATATTATTGTCTTATACATTAAAGTTTTAAATTTTAGTTCATTAAAGGAATTTCTCATTGAAATTAATATGGTTTATAGATATAAAATTATTTTCCGACTTTTTCAATAGTAAAGATATCTGAATATAATATTTCTATATTAATCGAATTAGACTCTATAATACTTTAGACTATATTAATAGAATTATCGTATTATTTATGAAGTTATTATATTCTTACTTAATATAAAGACTATATCAACCTCAATAATTAACAGAAATATTATAGATTCTAGATTATATATATTCTTCTTAAATAAATAAGCATATTAAAAATTTTTCATTCTTATATTTTACTATTTTACATTGTTTATATTAATTTATAAGCTTCTTTCACTTAATCGTAAAACTGACACTTGTTATTGACTCAATTTGATCGACTCTTTTTTATCATATAGATCTCTCCTTTTGTTTATCAATTATAATGTTTATACTCCACGCGCTTCAATAGGCCTAGTCCCCTGTAAGCTGAGCGGCGCTAAGAAACCCGTGATAAATGGCTCTATCATAAGCTTGTAGTTACAGATCTGCCTCATGTCTCCAGTAGCCTGCCGCGCTCAGGCTTCATGCTTTGTCTCAACAACAGATCATAGCAGTCTTGCTCGCTTTTTAATCCATTATTGCGACTTTCCTCATCTTGCTGTCGATCGAATTACTTTTTACACAATATTGACACAATCATCAATCGATCCGTCTTCCTTATCAACTCAAGTAATTAATATCTAAATCATCGGGATTCACCATATAGTCAGCATTGAATTGAATCAATTCAAACCCTGATACTACTACAATCGATCAATCAATCAATTCTGCACTTGCTTCCTTCCCTAATTGAAAACAACATCCATTGCTTTGAAAATCAGGACATCTGAAGAAGGTACATCCCCATGTATTTTCCTTTTGATAGATCATGTTTTTCATTTGTACAGACCAGTACAGTCAGTTTCCATCGTGTCCAAAGATCTAATAATCATGCAGGGAGATCCTACCAAAAAATAACAGCAGCATCCGAACTCCTTCATCCTCGGACAGACACCCATCAACACAAGCAAACTCAAGAAATTATCTCAAAGATCGGAAAATGGCAGCACCAGGAACCCAATCGCTCAAGGTCAGATTCATTATATCATATGGGAACATCGATCTCATTGTTTGTTGAGCAAGGAAACTGACCTTATCTGTGAACAGTGTGTTGTGACAGGAGATGGAGCTGTTGGCAAAGTACTTCTCCAGTTTATCAAAGTCATAATCAACTCAATCACTGACATCATTTTTACAGACATGTCTTCTGATTTCCTATACTACTAATGCATTTCCTGGAGAATACATCCCCACTGTGTGAGTTTGGATGCTTGGTTACAACAGGTTGGCCACTAACTTGGCTAGATTCGATAACTATTCTGCCAGCGTGATGGTTGACGGAAAGCCAATAAGCTTAGGTTTGTGGGATACTGCTGGACAAGAAGATTATGATAGACTGCGCCCGCTTTCCTACCCCCAAACAGATGTATTTTTGATCTGTTTTTCGATTGTCAGCCCTCCATCTTTCGACAATGTCCGAGCAAAGGTACGTGTGGATATCTTCAAGATTTGCGAAATATGATCAGGTTTCACTGACTCAATTGAATAACAGTGGTTTCCCGAAATATCCCACCATGCGCCTGGCGTTCCAATTATTCTTGTTGGAACGAAATTGGATCTTCGAGATGACGAGCCTACCAAAGAATCCCTCAGATCCAAACGAATGGAGCCTGTAACCTATGACCAGGCAAGAGTTGTTGCCAAAGAAATCAGGGCACACAAGTATTTAGAATGTTCTGCGCTCACACAGAGAAACCTTAAGAGTGTATTCGATGAGGCAATTCGGTAAGATATTCCCCTCGAAGCATGATATGACAATGTCCAACTGACCATGTGAAGTGCTGTCCTGAGTCCACAACAACAAGCACCCAAGCCGAAGAAGTCTAAGTGTACAGTTCTATGAAGTCGGATTGATTTGAGACAACAACAGGCGACGATCTATAGACGCAGTGAACTGGTTGGAAGTGGTTTAACTTCTACAATAATCGGAGATGGAGAGTTTCGAGGAGTCAGGTGCCGGGAAATACGAATGGGTTAATACAAGCTTTTTCTGTTTATCGACTTTTTCAATTCTATGCTGTAGAATTTGGCATTATATGGACGTGGCAGCATATATCGATGCAACATGCGTCCCTGAAGATACCGAAGATACCTTTTTTCTGTAGATAGGTCACGATAAATGCATGGAGTAATGAACAAATCAATATGTATCTTGAATTTCATTAACACTGAAGAATGGTTCACTTCAATTTGTATGCTATTTTAAACGGGTATCATAATTCATCCACCGATTCTTGCCTTTCTACTTGGATGGACTCCACTATCCTCAGCCAACACATGCTTCACACCCTGAACTGCTTCCTTTTTGCTGCCCTTAGGATTGTCGGCCTGGTGTTTTTGTTAGTATGTTACAAACAAGCAAATATATCTCTTGCTCAAGAAGTGTGCCGTCCAGTAGCAGAATCATATAAAATAGGAGAATCATTACCTCTTGTGCTTGTCTCACACGTTGCTCATTCAGTTTCACATTTTTCTCTTTGATTTTGGACCGACGATCTTTAGTGTTACCACCGCCTCCGGCACTATCATAACGGTTAAACGGAACACGAATGGTGGGCGGAAGGATATCACTCACGTCAGCTCAACATTGAGCTTTCTTGGTGCTGAGATACCATCATTGAATGTGGATTGGTGAAATTGCTTCAAGCAAGTTTTCATATGATCATAGCCTTCGAACTCAAGGAAAGCACAACCTCTCGATTTAGTAGGATTTCCCTTCTCCGTGAGATGACGAACCGACGCAGGTTTAACGGCTGCAAAGTGATTTTTTATCGATGCTGTTGTAGCAGTGAATGGCAGGTTTCCTAACAACATGTAAGTCCAAAAAAGTAGAGAATGTTTTAGGAAGGGACTTCTACCGATAAAAACAATGAATCTTGCTGCCTTGCTCTCGGAATTTTCGCCAGAAACACCTCCTTGCTTCTTGATTTTCGAACGTTTTTTCTCGGCACTAATTTGATCGGAGGGTCCAGTAGCATTTCCTGTCGCAGGTTCTGCCGTCTGCGCTGTAGACGTTGACTTTGCATCAGCTTCCCTAGCTTTCCTTTCCGCCTTCCTTTCCTTTTTAGACTTCTTAGGCGCAGCTTCGGTCTCCGCTATATCTGATGGCTCTCCAATTTGCACGGGCAGTAAAGACGATTCCGCTGAAGAGGTTTTATTCTTCTTGGACTTGTGATGGGACTCTACGTTCTTGTCTGCGATTTCTTCGCTCCTCTCTAGAGTGACAGTCTGGTCAACTTTCGCATCATCATCTATAGATCTTTTCCTTTTTGTCGAAGCGGCGCTATCGTCATTTGCTTCGGTTTCGAGATCGTCAGGTATGTCGGGAATTGAATTTTCGATCTTGCGCCTTTTGGCCTTCCTTTCGGCTCGAGAAGCTCCCGTTCCAAATCCCATATTGAAATTAAATGGATAGACGGATGGTTGATGTAGGGATTGAAAGAATAAGTGGTTATCACAATGTCAAAATCTAGCCAAACAATTTTCTAGTTTCCAGTTTGATTATTTCCTATCGCGAGAAATATTATGCCCATAGCGGTGAGAAGTATTTATCTTCACTAGCCGATTTGGGCTAGGTAGTTCTAAGATGCGCCAATTCGGCGGGAAAAGCATTCATCAATCAATCACTTTCCAATCTTGAGACTTTGGTAGAGAATTTTATCATAATCTATTTCGTCGCTTAAAGTGCATACTTACGTATATTTCTCCTAACAACAATTCTACCTGGTAAACAAAACACAAAGGAGGTAGAAGTGCCTTGAACGCCTCTCGACCACCAGCTCTTGTTCTTTTATCCCCCGCTTTCCAAGCAATCGTTCGAAGGCTGAGCTCTATCACCAAGAGGCAAAAATACATGGACGTAATATCAAATACTGATGAATCGGATCATGTTTATATATGTATCCACCCTTGTCACTCCACACTATTTGGAAGTCGTCTACGCGCTCTTCCATTGAGATCCAGAAATTTCCGTCAACTTGCATCTGGCTATCAAACAGCGAAGTATAATCCTAAAATGGGAGCTAGGGAAAGGAATAATAAATTCGGTAGTATTTCAGAAGTGTCTCCAGTATAAAGAAGGGGACTGGCCGTGACGAGTTCCGGGGCGGTATCATAGGTTGTGTGAATCAAATCAAAAGGCGCTGTGGCGGATGCTGTCACTGATGCTGTCACTGATGCTGCCACTGTGTCTCTCGTAAGGTGCACCATGGGTGGAAGTGATGAAAAGGTTACTGCAGATGCAAATGGGAGAGCACTTTGAATCTGAAGCCCGCTAAGTGTTGGATATCCAGCGATTGACTCCGAGTCTTCTGTCTTGACACCTTGAAGATATTCAGCTTCTCTTCGGCGCAAGGAATCGTGATTTGAAAGCCGAGGTACTGCTAGAATGATGTTGTCGGCAACGCCAACGCATTGGGTAATTGTATGATGTAACGCAGAACCAAAATGTGCAGTATCGCATTGGGAATATATGCATTTGAAGACGGACTGCAGTAAATCCGTCAGCGTATGATCTTAAGCATTAGAAGCAACGAGAGGGTAAAGCTATGGCATGACCAACGTTATGATATTCTGCATCTTGGCAGAGACATGTGTTTTTGTCCACACATTTACTGACATATTTTGTGTTTTCCCAGCACCGCACTGCACAACCTGCAAATAAATGTTAATGTGGTACGCCTGAGTCTCCAAAGAAACATCTTTACCGGGAGCAGGAAAATTCCCGTCACTTGTAGCAGGATTGTTCACCATTGCCATGGCTAATAGCAAGATGGCACGCCTCATGATGTACGTAGTAGTTTGGACACACTCGATTCCACAATCATATGATAGTCGCTAAACGACCCCGAAACTTTGCGAGTAGGTACTTTTGTTAGGAATCGTTTTATCGAGAAAACGGGTTTAATGAGTGTGTGGGAACGGCCGGAGGAGAAGTTGTTGTATTGTGATACGTAGACTAGAACGAATAAGAGAAGGACCAAGAATGAGAGAAACAGTACAGCTTCATACTAGTAGCTCTCATTTGGTTAGACCTTCCTCGAGTAACCATACAACATGGACTTGCTACATCACGCCAAAGCAGCACCAGGCATTTGCACCTTCCTCTGATTATGATTATTTTCTTACATTAAAAGTTCTGTTGTAAAAATTTATGAAAGGAATTGACAATTGCAGTCAGTAAAATAGGATTTGTAACTTATCCTTGGAGCCTTCATATCTCTCCCTGAACGGTTTCTGGCCTAGCCAAGTTGTTAAAGGGATCTGCGTCTCTTTCATTTCAAGTATACCCCTCTTCTTCTGATCAATGTGAGAGGCGTCGATAACAATTCTCTCCAATCTATCGACCGCGAGCGAACCTTCATCCATTAAATCCTTCAATCTCTGAGGTGTACCGACAGCGATTCCGGTCCTTGAAGATTTGAGAAATCCGATGGAATCCTTGAGCTTGATATGTTTTGCAAACAACTTTGCAACTTTCACATCCTTGGTTTGAAATTTTCGTACCGCTCTATACAATTGTCAGATGAGAATATACATACATATATACTGCCAAATCTAATGATAACAGGAATGTGAATATACCTGGCAAGATCGGCTGCCCTGAGGCCTGCAGCAGTAACAATGATTGTGTGTGGTGATCCATTCTTCTTTGACGCTGACCAAAGTTTTGTTGTATTATCAGAGAATTTCTCCAAAAACTCAGGTAAATTATCAAGATTTCGTGGCTTTGTCCATGATGTAGTGTCCTGAACAGCAGAGACTATTTAAATGTCAATACATTAGCCAAGTTTATAGCATATATAAGGGTAGGTTCTGCTCACCTGGTATGTATCGATCCTCTAATTCAACGGAACTAAGATCACTTTCAAATCTTCTTGTTTGGCTTGCGACATAATCAACTATTAGGTGATCGTTCATCTTGGCAATTGCATTGTTGAGACCAGCCTCAACATCGATATCCTCGTCATTAAATGAGGAATGCTTCTTCCTTTTCGCAACTTCGTTAATCTTTTCCTTGGGCCCCTCTTGATCATGATTTCCTCCACGCTTTCTCTTCTTCGAAATTGTTTTGTTGGAAGTGTCGGGTCCAGATCGGGCTGGAACTCTCACTTCTTCAATCAGAGGATCCTGAAGTTCATTTTCAATTGACATTGTGATAGTATGAGCTCAAGTCGGCGTCGACTCGAAGACTTTGATGGTAGGAATTGCTGTGAAGTTTGCGTGGAAGAGCCTACTTAGGTCCTTATGTGGACAAAAATTTCGACTTTGGCGATTATGATTCCGGTCCTGGTTGTAGTATACACGGAATTCATTAATTGCTTTCCCTTCCCACTTCTCTCTCAGCCTTTTTCAATGGTAGTTCTTCGTAAAATAATTTAAAGCCTTGCGGATCCACAAATGTACTGCATATCGCTAACGCTAAGATAAGATAAGATTCGCGCGTACTACAATTACTGTTCTGGACGCGTCTTATCTAAACATTGATATTTCGATCCTGGTGATCATTGATGTTTAACTTAACACTATGAAATTTCCACTCAGTATATGTTAGATTTATTTCGGAACAGAATAAATTTATCCGTCATCTCGAGATCCAGTCTGACCAGGATAAAGACAAAGTATAGTAATTGATATTCCATCTATTTGCTAACAGAAGATACACATCACGATGAGTGGAAGACCAGGAACTCCTTTGCGCCGCACTTCCACTGTTGGACTTTCTCCAACAGACGCAAGCTATTCGAGAACGCCTAGTCGTGGCTCAAGGCTAGGGGGCTCAGAGCTCAGGACTAAGACTTTGACACCTCATGGAAGAGCAGCTTTGCGAGAAGTTGAGGCTCGACGAGCAGGATTGACCCCAGGAAAGGATAGAAGACGAAGTGGCAGACAGCAAAGGGAAACACCTCGAGACGTATTGAGATTATTGAGCAGGACTTTAGCTCCTCAAACCCGTCCGACAATTCCATCACCCCAAAGAGCACCCAGCAATTCCAGAAGACAGACTTTACTTTTGGATGATGACTTTGACGACGATCCGAATCTTGTGCCCCCACGACTTTCTATCCCCCTAGACGAGGACAATGATGAAGATGATAACGAGGACGATGAAAGTCTTTTGCTTCCTAGTTTGGCGGCTTTAGAGGATGAAAATCTGACCACGCGATCTATCGAGCTTTCAAGGAGAGCTGTCACTGAGAGGCCGAGCAGGCTGTTCTCGAGGGGCAGTTTTGGGAGCATCCGAGGCAGCGATCATTTCGGGAACCTGGATGAGGCAGAATTTGGACGAGATGAGATGGAAACAAGCTTCTTCAATGCAAATGATTTTGAGAATGATGATTTCCGAGAGATGGCTAACTCTCCATTTTTTGGGAGGTAAGTCCAGGAGCCTACATCCAGACAGGCCTATTGAGCTGACGCAAGTTAGTGATCGCGCAGGATTACAGGGAGAATTAGAAACCGCGTTGCATCGCCGGTCTCTTCTACCAGGGCGAAGTAGTGATATCAGACCATACAATTCACCGTCCGAGGAAAGGGATGCGACTTTTGTGTTCACAGTTCCGCAGCCCGAAATACCAGCGCGATTTGATCCTTCGCTATCACCAGAAGATAATCCAACTGCGATGCCTATCATGGACGAAATTTCTTCCCCTCCTGCCAATTATCAAGGAGATGATTTTGAAATGGACGATGAAGCCATGGATGGTGAGAATGACACTCGCAGACTGTCGGATCTTGTAATGGACGATGAAGCCATAAACGGTGAAGATGGCACTCGAAGACTGTCTTTCGGAGCGTTCGAGGACTCCCGTCTTAGTGATGATGGACCCCTTACAGCATCCGTTCAAAAGGCGACATCAGAAAATGCTAAGAGGATATTCCAGAGGAAGGTTAATAAGGTTTCAAAACATGGGCTGAAATACAAATCATTGCCTCTAGGTGTAGTGAAGAAACATGCGATCAATCTGGCAAGGAATGGAGCCGGCAAAGGAGACAAGTTAAGTGGAGATGCTCTTGATGCGATCATGCAAGCAACCGACTGGTTCTTCGAACAGATCAGTGATGATTTAAGCACATACTCTGAACATGCTGGACGCAAAACCATTGATGAGAGTGATGTTTTAATGCTGATGAGAAGGTATTTATCTAAACATGACGAGAATCTTGATACGTGCTGAGTGTTTTACAGACAACGCCAAACCAATGCTACAACAACGCCATTTTCACTTGCACAAAGTCGCTTGCCTAGAGAGCTCTTACAAGACGTAAGAATGGTTCCCCCCTTGATCTCGAAAGACCGGCCCCGACAAAAACAACCCAGAAAATGAGGTAAACCACACGCAATCCTCAAGACCATTCTTTATTTTGACGAACTCGTCGAGCGATGTCCGCAGATGGTTTCTTTACAACCATCCATAACATAACTGACGTAGCAGCAGCCAAGGCGTACCTGTGATATTATAGCATTAGCACACATAGCGACAGGTTGTATTTAACTTTGTCGCTAATCGTTGGAGGTACCTACCATGTAAATATGTACTGTGTGTGGTTGTTTCGGAGATTAACTTCTGCCGGTCTTCCTATTGGAATCCCACGTGCGGCGCGATCCCAAGCCATCAAGAGATCAGGTTCTGTGGTTTTGTAAGCTTTGTGGCACTTGAATAGAATGAAATGCCATCTTACCCATTGTCTCTTCAATCCAAACAGGTTGACTCCCTGTCAACTTAGCCATTTGCTCGACGTCAGGAAAGTAAAATTCTTGAGTCTGTGGACTATTATCTGGCGTGAAAAAATTCTTCTTCCAAGGCTCGCGCAACAATCCCTCGACCGTTACCTCACCTTGAGGCAACCCGTCGGGTCTACTTGTTTGCTTCTTATACTTCTTTTCGATCCAACCCCGGTTTACAAGAACACTTGTGCCCTTACCATCCCGCTCTAAAGGAGTAATGACGAGATATCCGTCTTTCCCATCATGCAATCGAGGGCCAATCAGCATTTCTTGATCGTGTCTAAAGTGACCAGTGGCAAAAATTCTCCTATAGTCGAATTCTTTTATTGCCGAAGGATCAATGTGTGGGGGAAGTGGTAAAGGATCACGAACGAGGCGATCCTCAAATTTTGCAATGAGCTTTGATTTCCAATCCAAACGTTGGACTTGCCATGTCCCCAAGGCGAAAGCTGTTAGTGGAATCAAAGCTATTTATCATGTATATTAGAAAGTCTTCTAGGAAATAAAAGCTGGGCAACTCATGACTTACCTAGAATAATAAGACCAGGCCCATGCCTTCTTCCTGTGCGCACCAGATTCGGGGGATTGTCTATTATAGATGTGAAATTGGGATCATCAGCAGCCTGTCTGGACATGACGCGGGTTCCCGCGAAACATCGATGGTTTCTTGGGCATTTTGGGGATTGGAAGGGAAAAGTTATCCTCCTGGTATGAGATGAAAACGTATGGATACGATTGTACGATAGAGCTGAGACAGGGGAACGCATATTCAAGACGATTGACGCATGAAGTTTATAAACCACGTCAATATGCTAGGTATTCCTTTGATGTTAATACTCTAGTAGATGCTACTAGAAAGCTACAAGTATAAGTATTATATTCTCTCCAGCTCTTTTATCGCTACATAAGGTATGCCGTGCACGTGCAAGACTATTTTTCGGATTTGTCTGATTACCTACTTAGTGATTGAGTGGTTACCAGCCACACTCGCCACATAAGCCACCCGAACCTTTGTGATTACATAGGTAATTTGAAGGGTATCAAATGTCTACCCAGTCCAGTACCTTTATTAGGATATCTATTCACCCTGTCACTACAACTCTTTCCATCAAGATATCATACCACATCATCTCGTCTAAAATTGAAGCAACTATTCTGTTATATCTACCCTCATAAATATCTTGTATACCAGGTGACATTTACACTGTTCCATTCACTCACAATCAAGGACACTACAGTAAAGAGATCAACTATTTGTACTTCCTCTCAACAATCTATTGACTTGCTCACGTCACATACCATACCTATTTACATTTTTCGCCCTCATAGCTAGAGCCAGTCTTCATAACACCGTCTCCCTATTCACGCTAGAAATCGATATACCCCCCCAACTTTTGCAAAGCCATTCAAGAAATATATTGTTTGGCAATTCCGGTATATCACAGCGGCGGCAATGTTTTACACCGGCGATATTAATAGCGGGATCAGCAAGGCCTTAGCGGAATCTAAACTTGTTGCATGTTTCGTAACGAGTAAATACCTTTCCTTTCACGTTTTCATTCGATCGATGTAATGACCACGTGCCCCATAGATGGTAACGAAGAAAGCAGACTCTGGGAAGATGATTTCTTACGAGATCCCAAGGTAATTTGAGAACTGTGAACTCCTCTTTCTTGATGCTAAATCACTGTCTAGTTAACTTCTCACCTACAAGAAAGAACAGTTTTGCTGCGCCTCAGTGCTGGTTCTGAAGAAGCCAACTATCTCGCTGCAATCTTTCCTATTCCAAAAGCTCCAACTCTGGTTGCTATACGGTGAGCATGATTCACTCATATTTTCACTCGGTATATCTCAATGTCCACGGGCGGTGCAGATGTTAAAAGTATTGGGCATAAATCTATCGTGCATTCTTGAAGATGGTGCTTTATCTCAAATGTTCAAGTGTAGCCAAACGCGTCTTTCTGTTCATGCTGAATTTGCATGGATTCGCGAATAGTCACCCCCTTATACAGATAGACATCTGCTTCTCTTGCTTCAATTCTGTTTGGCCCTGCTATTTCTTGTATGGTTGCCTGCAGGTAATAAGACATTCTGTTGGGAGTGCTAACCCCTGGACTAACAGGAATGGAGAGCTTAAAGAATATTTAAGTGCAGGCATATCAAAAGACGACTTTCTGACGCGATTCAAGAAAGCCTTGGAATCTACATTTAACCAGAGGAATGGCGAAAATGATCGCCCTATGTCACCAAGTGGAACGCAGGCCTTGGAGAATCCAGAACAACGTACGACCGAAGGCCAACCATCGGGTGTTTCACCCACTGGGAATTCCCATAACAGCTCTACGTCCGCTTTACAATCAATTCGTAGTAATGCTACTGGGCAACCGAGCTCTAGCTCTCTTCCTAGGGATCTCAAAGGCAAATTACCCGAAGATTCAAAGGCCACTGGCGAAGATCACTCTAAAAAGCCATCTCAAGCGGCGGAAACAGTTAGCTATGCTGCACTTCAAAAGAAGCGTCAGCAAGAGGCTAGAGAAGAGCGGGCGCGCATTCTTGCACTCGTGGAGAGTGACAAAGAAAGAAGACGAAACGATGCAGGACACAAGCCTAGCCGTAGTAATCACTCCGCAGAAAAGCCAGTTGCATCTAGCGACAAGGGCACACCCATACCAAACCCGGTGTCAAAGGCACAGGATTGTGCTCTTCAGATCAGACTCTTTGATGGATCTTCTATTCGTTCCAGGTTTCCTAGCACCAGTACCCTAAGTGGTGACGTAAGAAAGGTAATGTGAAGAAGCCCACCAAAGCACGAATGATGTTTTCCTTGGATATTGAAAAACTGCATCATCAACAACTTTTATGTACCTAGGTACAATAAATGGCAATGCTGACGATGACTAGTGGATTGACAGTCAACAAAAGGACGACGTGCCTTATATATTCAAGCATGTTTGTACACCTTTGCCAAATAGAACCCTCTCAATGACCGATGAAAGTCAACATTTGGCATCATTAGGTCTGTTTCCAAGCGCCACGTGAGTAAAATTTCACTCAGGCCTATACAGCCTTGATTGATGCTCTTGGACACTAATGTGGAAGCAACAGACTTATTATTGTTCCGGTTCAAACGTATACTTCGGCTTATGAAGCAACAGAATCAAGTGGCATCTTATCAAGAGGAATCGCTGCTGGATATGGCCTTGGCGCCTGGGGTGTCAATAGGGTGTTGTCTACTCTTGGCGGCATTGTTGGTGGTTCAGCTGCTGCATCGGATACAGAACAGATGGCCGGACCTAGCGCATCAGTAGGAGGTGGCCGTGCCTCAAATCTAAGAACTCTTAGGGATCAGGATGATAATGACAACCATCATGAGTTGTACAACGGAAATACGGTAAGTTTTGCCAAGTTGACACCGCAAACACCATGCTGAAAATTGTAACAGCTCAACTTCGAGCCTCGGAGGGATGATAACGACAGGGAAGATTGATCTGTGTGAGGTACTCTACTGTTCACAAAATTCATGCACATTGGCCATGAAATACTCTGAGGCGGGCACGAGTCATCGTCTTCTTCAATCTTCGAATTCACTATTGTGGCGTGAATCGCAACACGACACATATAGTCAGCTGTTGATTCGGCTTGTATTTGTAAACAGGGCACGTATGTCGACAGTAATGAACGTTTCAAGTTGAGCTTTTCTAGCAGCATCGCCTCTTTGTTTTACATAATTATTCGATTTGACCATTCACGTCTAGAAAAAAAAAACGTTTAGAGGAGACATAGCAGAAGCAAAAAGTTACACGTATGACGCGACGGCCCTCCTTCCTAGTTGCAAGTGGTCAACCATTATACTATGTTCACAGACAAGCATTGAAATCGTTTCAGTAGTACGGAACGCTGCCTCAAGATATAAAGTTGTTATTGAGTATCCATTTACACGGCTGATTGCGGTCCAACGAGTATCAGCAGAAGGTTCCTCATGTAATGTTGCCCAAATCAAATCGATGCATTCGCAAGTCGATTAATGGTGGAGCGACACTTGGGCTGACCATCATGCTTGTATGCTTCCCTTAAGCCTCGGGGCTCATTCTAAATGGTCTCATCTCATGCAAGCTTTGCAGTGCTTTTCTTATGTGAACCAAACAGGCCAAGAAGATAGGCTGAACGTGTCAAGAACAAGAACACCTGCCTCATGTTAGACATTGAATTGCACCACATGAAAAGTACAGATGGGAGTGGTCTTACCGTTACTCCTATATTTCCAAAAGTCATTGAATTCCATTGAGTGACATTTCCGACCCTTTCCCATCCCAAGACACGGTAGGTCACAACAAAATGGCCAATATCACCCAACAAACAAGCAAAGAGATAGTTCCTAACGAATTTCGCCTCCTGCGTACCGCCAAGAATGGCTATCTCTACCATGGCCATCAGAAGATATACCATGCCTAGTTGGAGCGCAACAGCCCGTGCATTATCACTAATTGGTAGGTGACGTGAAATTACAACCTGCTCCTGAATAAACCACTCTGGGGAGATCATCGCAACTGTAAAAGCAGCCACACTATGTCCCAATCAGTATGTTGATGTCAACATTGC